AAAATTCTGCCTTGCACACCCAAACACGGGTGGAAATGGTTTGGAACCCCTTTGGAACTTGGGGGGCATTCACAGAGACAGGGAAAGACCCCAGACCACAACTACGTTTGTCAAGAAAACCACTTTCCAGGCCTTGGGGAATCTTGAAAAATGTGAACTCCGTGGGGTCTGTGGGAGAAGGTCGAAAAAGTCAAGATGGCGCCATGGTGGTGCAATTCCAACTCCGCCTGTTTTTGACATGCGTCAGATCTGACAAACCATACCTTGCAGATACCCCCAGGTGCAGTCACGCTGATTAAAAAGAAGAAGTTGTCAAGGAGCAGGGAAGAGAAATTATGGAAGTCGCCCGCAGGAAAAAAGCTGTGGGTGTGTCAAGGGCCAACTGGAATCATTTTTGTTCATTGCAACACCCGGGAACTGCTATCGAATCTCTGTATTCCTTTCCCCACCACACCTGGAGGTGTTGTTTGGCAACTAGTAAAAACTGGTTGGAAGCCTGAGACATGTTCAGGAGGCAAGGCCCAGCTGTTGTGTCTTTTGATGCTCAGGGAAATTCACCCTCCAGGAAATTGGAGAGAAATTTAACAACGCAGAGGTAAACCAAATGTGCCCGACTCATTTGTAATTATTGCAGATGGCTTTTTTCATAATGCAAACAGGGGTTTGGTGTTTTAAAAACAAGACTCCTGGCTGTTTCGCTGACTTACCGCTCTAACATCTGGCTCACACCCAACCCTTATTTTGTCCGTAGCAGAGCAGGGTGCAGAAGATGTGACAATTGATTCTTTCATCTGAGCAATGCCATTTTTTTTTTTAACACGGAGCAGCCAAACCCTCTCCAAGAAGTTGGAGACTTGGAGTAGAATCCTTGAGTCCCAAAGGAGGTTCCGTATCTCAGATCCATTGGTTTACGTGTCCCCATAAACAGCATAAAAACGGTGGGATTTTCTTGTGGGAAGAAAGGGCCACATAAATTATTGCGGGATTTGGGACACAGGGAGAACGACATCCAAACAGAAGTGTGGTGATGTCCTAGAGATACGTTCTGGGAACAAAGTAATTACATATATGAATTGGCTTTGAAACAGGGTTTAATATTCAGAAGTCCATATTCTTTTGAATGGCTACTGATCGCATGAAAACTGACAGCTGGTGAATGGAAATGAATTTTCTCTGCCCTTCTTATTGCTAAGAGTCTGGTCCTTCAACGCTGGGGAGATACATTTATGGCTCCACTTCCTCTGGGGATGGAAGACCTGGTGCTCCTTACCGTACAATGGATGAGCCCATGGTTTACGGATGGATGTGCATTAAGATGGGCAATCACAGGAAATGTGGCCCTCCTTTATTGAAACGGTTGTTAAACTCATATAAAACGTGCATATGCGCATTTACATGGAGGAGAAGCTCTTGGGTCTGAGCGTGGGAAGAGCGGTTGTTGATTTCTCCTTCTCCTTTTTAATTTTTCTTTGCTTCCTTTTCGTCTCTGCTTTTTCCCCTTTAATTAAATAACCCCCCTCCTCCAAAGTGAGTAATAAATGATAAAATCATCACCCCGGACAAGGTGGGGTGCATACTCGGCTCGGTTGGGGAAAATGCTGTACCTAAAGACGCCCAGATTTCCATCCCGCTTCTCTGCCCTTAGATTGGATCTATCTCGTGGGGGGCTCAAGTTTTGTAGAAAAGCGCCAGTCCACTTTTTCTGGCCTGTGTGTTTTCCTTTCAGCAGTCGACGTGCAGGAGTTTCCTTCCCGCCGCGATATTTCCCCTCGGCTTGTCACAAAACCAAGCCGGCTAGAAAAACAGGAGTCGGAAACACGGGCTGCGTGTGGGTTGATGAACCCGGCAGGGTAAACAGCACAGAGAAGGCGCCGTTCAGAGAGAGAAAGGAAGAAAGAAGCCACTGAGGATCTTGGATCGATCCAGGCTTGTTCCCGACAACTGGCAAGACATTGGACGGGGTCCTTTTTCAGCAATGCAATCCATAATAATCATGATTTAGAATGATCTTGCATTTAGAATGTGGACCTGGGGCCTGGTTTGAAGATATGTCAAAGTATCAACACGTTTAGCATCCTGATTCATTCAGCCCACGGTGGGTATAATTGCAAATTCCTGCCCCCCCACCCTACCCCGCAAGAAATCAATTTCTCCTTTTTTCTGACCGCCTGGCTCCATCTGCAGAAAGCCATGCAGTTGGGGTTCATTTCTCTCGCTCTCCTTCTTCACCTCGGAAAGGGACGATGCGATTGCTCGAGATACCCCAGAGCCAAATAAGATGTAACAAAGTCAATTTATTCCCCTTTTCGGGGCAGCATTTTGACGGATACGGCTAAATTTGAAATGCCGGTTATTTGTGACCGTGGAGTTGTTTTTCTTGAGCAGTTTATTTTTTCGGGGGATTAATGGCATCCTTGGCACACCAGAAAGGATCATCTTTTGCACGTGGCCTCTGGAAGCTCCCAAAAACAGAACTTTGCCCAGTTACAGTCAAAAACAAACATATGCTTGAATATGAATGTCTTTGCCACAGATTCTGAAAATTTCCAGATGTCATTGCACCCTCTCTTGGACTCCCACAAAATCTTATGCCCTGATTTCCTTAATCCTGGTTTACTGAAGCGATCACACATGGCTGAGTTTATGCAAGATGCAGAACCACCAGTCGTGGCTTAGGTGCCAGAATGGTTGGGTTCACATAGCCACAAACCAGCAAACTGTGGAACGCCTGAGTGATGTGTGAATCCCAACCCTGGCTTTATAAAAAGGCATTTATTTGAGAAGTCAAAAAAAGAATACCCAAAGTTGCATCTACTTTACGGTATTTCTCAGGCTCAACAACTTTAAGATGTATGGACTTCAATTCCCAGAATTCCCCAGCCAGCATGCTGGCTGGGGA